TGGTAGAGGAGGTGTGGGTCTTTTGGCAGAAGGTTGAAGAAAATATTGGGGCATATTGGTTCTTTACATTTAATGTTGACTTTGATTGAAATTTTCTCCACACCCATTCTTAAATTGGGTGCGTGAATTACAATTTTTGTAAATTTGGATAGAAATTATGATGGTGCAAATTGGTCCTAAAACACATGGGGGTTATGCGCTTATTTTTTAACCACAAGGGGGTAAAGTGATACAAAGGCAAACTAAAATGAGGTAAAATGGAATTTGCTCCCCCCCCCCCTTTTAACAAACTCAATGAAATATCCAAAATATTTTAAAGAAATCCTATATTGTTAACTTCTTTATAGTTGTCAAAGAAATCTTACAAGTACTTAAGTTTTATACCTCAAACCAATACCATGGTTAGATGCACATTTCCTTCATAGATCTTTATGTCGGAAGTCCCCCTTCGACATCTTGTGTAGCTTCACTTGAACTCCCCGCCACATGGTTTGTTTAGGTCTCGAGCAATCATAGGCATGCCAATGATTCTCAGTATGCACACACAAATGAATTTGATTCAAATCATCAAGATCCTCAACACCAAGTTGTGAGTTTGAGTAGAATCTCTAGTGGTAGCCTTGGATCTTAGGGATCTAAAATAGTGGTGAAAGCTCTCTAGATAGAATATGAGTTTTCTCTCTTGAAAGGCTTATAAGAGGTTTACCCTAACTGAAGAAAAGACTCCCTATTTATAGGTCTAGAATAAGGGAATCTTGATCAACAAGAAAACTTAAATTCACAAATGACTGCTCAATCAGGTGGAGGTCGGCCATAGGGCAGTGGTCACTAGGGCTATTAATCAAACTGAGTTACTTGAGTTCGGCTTGAGTTTGACTCGTTTAGGCTCAGTTCATTTTCTAAACGAGCTCGAACTTGAACAAGTTTTTAGGCTCATTTAGAAAACAAGCCCTACAAGCTTGGCTCAAATTCGATAAGCTCGGCTCGTTTATGTATAAATACTCGGGCTCGACTCGGCCTTTTGGAGGGTTTCTTCTTCTTCCAATAGATGATCTTTTACAAGTTCCAAGGGAAGGTATTTATAGGCAAGAAGGGGGTAAAAGGAGAGTAAAAGAATAGTTCTAGGTGCTTAAAGTCCAAGTGAATGCCCCAAAATCCAGATGAAGATCTAATCTTCCTGCAGCCTGTCTGGGATTTGTGTTCAAATGTTATTGGCATTCGAACATGGAAACATTTCTTCTTTGATGAGCGTTTAAACGTTGTTGTAGTTCGAACGTGGCACTCATGTAACTTTTTTCCTTCACAGTAACTAGCTGCAACAAGCCATGTGTCATTACCCTAGCAATCTTCTGGAGATCCTCAATAATTTCAAGATGGTGTTCGAATGTGGAAGCATTTGTTTCCTCTATCTTCAAATCTCCTTTAGAACACGTGTGCTGCTTGAAAGTTTGATGTTGTTGCTTTTAGGACCTTGTACTTTATTTCTCCTGAAATGTTATCATTTAAACTCCATCAAAGCATAGTTAATCTCATAGAGGCATAGTAAGATGTTACTCTTAACTATGCATCAGTTATAAAGAAACCGTTCTAGCAAAGGCTATCGAGCATAGGGTGGTCCCCATCGATATTTAAAACATAAAACCAAACAAAAAACTTGTCATCTTGAACACTAAAGAGTGTTTCTCAGAAGGGATCCCCTAATGCCTCAAACTATATTTTCAAAACATGAAATAGTTTAGAAAATCTATTCATTTAAAATCATCTAGAATCCATACACGGATTAGTCTCTGATTCTATTTTAACTCTAATCCTCCTAAGTTAATTAAACCAATGGATCATCTTAGGTATCTAAGTCATTACCTTTGTCCTAAGCTTGAAAGTGTAACAAGGGTGTGAATGATGTAGTTTTGACGCTTAATCTTCTCCTTTCAATGATACTTTTGGATCTTCAATCTTAATAGCATTATGACCATGGAATATGTTGAGATTTACAATGACAAAATTAAGTAATTGCAAATGCACATCTAATAATCTCCCCATTTGGCAATTTCGTGACACAATACATAAATAAAAAACTAAAATTGCAACCCACAAACTATTGAACAAAACGAATTGTAAATCTAATCTCAACACTTATGCATACGTCCTAAATCTCTACCTTAGTATAAGATCTACATCTTAAGATATTAATTGAAGATTATAGTTCTACACATCACCACTCAAATCAAAAACTTATAAAAAGCATCATATGTTCGAGAACTAAATAACACAATCACAGGTATCGTAAGCACTAAGTTAAGCATAAGACATATTTATGTATACATCATGCAAGTATAAACATGTAACATGTTAAGAACTAAATTGTCCCATATACTTGAGAACCTATTGATATATCAATATCAATGATATCGAGTTCTCCCCGGTAATTGGTGTTCATAAGCAAAATAACAAGTGTAAAATAGGTGGCTCCATGCTAAGTTTGTAAATATACTCCCCTTGAGTATTTGAACAAACCCCCCTTACTATTTTTACATGGAACATACCTAGACTAGTCAAGAGTAAATCTTCTCGATTCCTCTCATAAGTACCTAAAATATTTTCTCGTTTTTTGTCATAAATATCAACCCAATAACAACAAGTGACAAGCACTGTACAGAATCAAGTTACCCAATATATTATTTCCTTATTTGCTATAAATGTCAATCTCATAACTACATATAACAAGCATGACAAAGAATTATGGTATAACAAGAAGGTATAAGCAAGGACCAACTAGTTAAATCATGCACATAAAATAAGCAAATAACAAACACAACATATAACTCATAGTCAAATATGATAAAACAACAATAAACATGACTTAGAGTATCGTCACAACAACAAATAAAAGTCAATAAAGAGAAAAAGTCAACAAAAAACAAAATAGAGTACTTTTAGTACAGACCATGAATGAATAATAAACACTCAAACTCCTATATGACCTAAACTAAAAGTCTCTAAAACATCTCAAGTGGCTGCATCAAAACTCCACTATCATCACCATCTAGTTGTCATAACTATGTCTCTGGCTCGTCATTGTCGATGAAACCTACATTATGTTACATATGCCTAAGGTGTTGTATCTCCTTGTGAATGTCCCTTTAATCTCTCACCATATAAGACATCCCTCTGTCAACAACTAGTTTGAGTGTTGTGAGTTTGTATTGCTGATCAATATTACTCTTAATGTGACCTAAAGTTGTATTAACAGCTATCCATTGATCTAAAGCAAAAGTAAGAGGAGTCCTATGGAGTGGTGTCTGCAAGGTGCTAGCTCAAGTGTGCCTCGGTGGTGGTGCACTAAATGGTTCAAGCTTTAAAGTGGCATGAGCATGTAGCTCAGCCTCTATCACATCTTTCTCTGTCTCAGCCTCCATAGGGTCAAATGTGTAGCACACATGCATCTCACTATGTCTCAATCACTTCTTCCCTAGAGGTCTCTCTGGTCTCAATAATTGATCAGTCTCTAAAGCACCAACAATCTGTGTGTGTATATATATATATCTCCAAACATGTACCCATGTACCAATAGCATGTAAGAGATAGTCTCATGGTGGGGGGGGGTGTGGAAATATGAGTTTTCGGGTCAATGTTTGTAATTAGAAAGTGGAAAGGTTATGAGTCTTCTGATATTCAGGAAGATTAAATTCAAAGACAATTGATTTCCTATCAACTTTGAAAGGATGTGAATTCATAGTTGAAATTCCATTTTAGATGCAATAGGATCAAATTCCACAGTGTGTGTGTGTCATTATTTTATGCATTTAATAATTTACAAGCTTGGGGCTCTACAAATTAAATTGTGATCTTATGGTATCAAAATAATTTATAGGTCTATAATTTATAAACTCCAGGTTTGTAATTTATATGTAATTTATAAACTTCATGTCTGTAATTTATATGTAATTTATGAACTTCAAGTTTGTAATTTACAAATTTCAAGTCTATAATTTATGTTCTATTTTCTAGCACAATAAAATATATGTACTTCAAGGACTAGATTTTTTCATGTTTTTCATGAGCATAATTTATATTAAGTATTTATATACTTCAAGTACACAATTTATGTGCTTCAGACACTATTTTAAATATAATGACAATTTAAAAATAGGACAATAAACACTCATATCATGTTCTTTTCATAACATGTATGGTGTTAATTAAAATTGATAAATTCATATATATCTAATTTTACCTTTTAGACATAGAATATTATTCGACTGTGACTCAGTTAGCTAGACCTCGTGCTAATAACGTCTATCAAATGTAGACTAGGGATTCATTCCATCTCCACTCATACGCCCTACACAAATCAAAAACAAATTTCATTTCTTAGAATAAAATTTAAAAAATAAACCATTAAAATTTACTAATCAATTCTAAAATATCAATGTCTCAATGAAAATATACCAAAACTCTGTAATCAACCTTAAAATCAAGCATATGTACTTGCGTGTGCAATTGAAAAAAAAAAAGAATCTAGTTTCCATAAGATCAACAAGTACAACAAATTTATGGAGTCAAGAATGAACAATTGGCCCATGAACAAAAAGTGTCGAAGTCTTTAGTCAAGAGACAATAAAATAAATGGCTATTATAGGCCAATGCGTGTGGTTTATTGTTCTACATTGAAATTAAATTATTAAATCTACATTAAAATTTTTTTTTTGTGTGGGGTGTATGAGATAAAGTAGTGAATGAAAAATTAGTTTTGAGAATATAGACTTGCTATTAAAAAAGTGTTTATAATATTGAGTAAACTTAGTCAAAATGAAATCAATATAAAAAAAGTAAATTTAATAATTTGATTATAAAAATTTTAATAAAGTGAGAACGGATATTTGGGATGAAGACCCCACCCACAAGTTACATGGTGTACTAAAATCTGAACTTTTTTTGAGAGAAATAAAAAGGATAAATCTCGCTCACAGTAGCACACTCACTTGATACTGTGAAGCAAAATGTTGGCAAACCCTAGCTTGCATGGCGGACCTTTGCAATTCACATCTTCGAATCGACACATATCCTTTCATTCCTCCGTTACTTGTCCTCTGTATCTTCGCTCCAAGAAACCTGGATTTCCTCCTCCTTTATCTCTACTTCTATCTCGAAGAAGAAGAAGAAGAAGATTAGAATGTATTCCATTCAGAATTCGGGCTTCAGCTGAGTTCAAGGCTTCGCAATTGGTTGGGGAGTCAGCTCCTTATGTTCCGCAGCCGATATCGGTCAAAATTCCTGTCGGTGATCGGCATGTAAGTCATAGCAATTTCGGCATTTTCCCTCAAGTGGTTTTTTTGGTTCATTAGTTTGTTTGTGTGCGGGGTTTTTATGTATTTTTTTTTTCGGTAAGTATGGTTTTTATGTATTGAGTTGTGTTGCATAATTTTGTTTGGACCATTACTCTAAAAATGCTCCTTTTATCTTCTTCAAAATCTGCGTGTGTGTTGGCATAATTTTGTGAGGTTTTCAGTTCTTCTATGTAAGTCGATGAAGGAGAGGAAGGTTCTCGCACTCGTTTTCTTTTCAAAAGTATGAAGAGAAATAATCCCTTACCTCTCTTCATAACTACTAAAACTTACAGATCACGATCAAAATTAAGAGCCACTAGTTGCTTCACTGCTAATGAAGCCTTTCATTCCATCCTCTATCCTCAGAAAAGCTTTCGGGCAAGAGTTAGTGCCAACCAGACCTTTTATATTTGCTGGCCTTTTACATCGAGGACCACATTTGCATTAGACTTGTGGTCCACTTCTCCTAAACAATCAGATGTATGCTAAAATTCTGTATCTCAATATAACATGTAACGTCATTGTATTCTTACAGATATTGGTTGAAACGGGTCATATTGGGAGACAAGCCAGTGGTGCTGTCACAGTAACTGATGGAGAAACTGTAAGTTTGTGCTTAAACTATATGTTTATCTGCATTATATTTATCTGTTCACAAAATTGTTTCATGCATTTGGAGAGCTGTTTTGTGGTTTGACTGCCAAAGTAAAAGTTGTTTTTTGTTGTTTAGATTTGAACTTTAAAGTTTGTTGGCATGTTGAAACTTTCTTTCATTAGCATGAGTGCATTGATTAATGCAAAATTGCTTTTACATTGTTTGTGTATTTTCAAATTCAATTGTTCATTGCCTAGTTTAAATATAGCATGTTGTTAGTTAAAACAATGAAGTCAATAGTTTGCGTGATGAAGTCATAATTTCTAATTTTTCAGGGTACACGTAGCCATTTGTATGACTTGTGTTACTGGCTCGCTGTTAGATCTTGTATTATAATTAATAAATATGGATAATATTATTTGAAGAGTTCTTCTAAAATAACTAAACTGATAATGGATACTTTGAATCGTTGTTGAAAGAATAACTATGAAGTTCGAGTTTTGCCAGTAATGACTTTTGGGTCAAATTTAGTTTTTGAGGCGATTAAGTTTAAGAAGGGTAGCTAGGTAAATTTTTGGGTCAAAATACTATTACCATTGAATTCAGAAGGTGGAGAAACTTTGGTATGAGCATTCACTTTGTGTAGCAGTCTTGATGAGTAAAATGGTAATTTTAGTGTTTGGATACTTTATTTTGTAGGAGATCAATAATGGTTATTGATTGAGATAGTGATGATTTAAGGTGCATCTCAAGTGTTGCAAAATCACTTAAAATGGTTTGAGAGATTTGAAGTTGAAGAGAAAAAGTTTGGAGGCTTTTCGGGGATTTAACACATGTTGGGGAGAATTTAGAAAGAAAAGAATTTGACACTATTTTAGTTTTTTGACCATAAATTTTTATCCTGATGTCTGATTGAACTGATTTCTTGTAATATTGGAAAGAAGACTTTAAGCTATGCAAAAGTATATTTCATGAATATTTTATGATCAAAGGCTAATTAGGTCAAAATCGGACTAGAAGTTTGAACTAGAAAATAGGTATGTCTAGACGCGAATTTGTATTTTTGGACAGTAAGTTTAGTCCTTCTGGATGCGCCTCCCAAAACCTATTAGCGCTGTTTAACCCAGTGTTATTTAAGGCGTTAAGCGAACCGAAGCGACCAAGGCTCTTAACGCCTAGGCGAGAAGCGAGAAGCGAAGCGAAGCGAAACGATTTACCAAAGCGAAGCGAGCAGTTAAAAAAATAAATAAATATTTTAGTGTAATTACTTATACACATCAAAGTTTTAATTTTATACATACTAAATATTTAAATACAAGTAAAACCATAAACATTTAAAGTAAAACCATAAACATTTAAATTAAAATAAACACTAATAATATTGCAAATCTTAATAACAGTCATAGTTTAAACATTTAAATTCATACAAATACTAATAATATCCCAAATCCTAATATTTAAAAACATAAGACACATAATTCAAGCAACTAAAGAAAATATCTCAAGGACTTAGAAATCAATCCTCATCACTAAAGAAATCATCTTCTTCATTATCCTTAGATTCATATCCCTCAGTATCCTCCTCCTCTGCCTCATCTGAAATTATGTCTTCCTCATCTGTGAGTCCAGTCGTCGATCTTGTAAACCTTGGTGTTACCCTAGTAGATGGTATTGATCTAGTACGTTGGCTACTTTCCGTAACTGCAGAAGCTCGAGCGACTTCGCCCCAAGTCAAAGTATCATCACCAAACACAAGCTCATTATCTTCATCTGTGTCTGCATCCATTCTCCCAATCAACCACTCATTGCTATCATCAATATCCTTCAAAGATATTGGATCAATTGTGTCACGAGAATCATATCGGCGCCTCAAAGCTCTATTATACTTAACAAACACCAAATCATTGAGACGGGATTGAGCTAGTCTATTTCTTTTTTTGGTGTGTATCTGCAATAATTTATTAACAATACATTAAAATTTATAATAAGATTAAAAAAAAATGTAATTGAAGAGGTTTGAGGATGATACTTACATGCTCAAACACACTCCAATTTCGCTCACAACCGGATGCACTACAAGTAAGGTTTAAAACTTTTTTTGCAAAGGTTTGCAAATTTGGAGTTGCAGACCCATATGCACTCCACCAATCAGCTGTGAATAATGAATAACAATTAATTAACTAACATATTTAAGCAATGATAATGAAATAAGCTTGTGGGATAACATAGATTACCTGGTGCCCTAGTTGTTCTTTGTCTAACCGCCATGGGCAACTTAAAGAGGTTTTCACCTTTCATGTAAATACTCAACTCTTGACCAATTTTATCTTGTATCGCAGGATTTGAGACCAACTTTTCCAAACATTTATATAGGCCATTCATGACTTCTTGATCTTTCTCAACCTCTGGATTGGAATAGAAAAACTCTGGGTTCAAAAAATACCCAGCTGCATGCAAAGGCCGATGCAATTGAACTTCCCACCTTCGGTCAATGATTTCAAATATGTGTTTGTACTTCTCTTCATTGCCATTAAAAGAATTAGCAATCGCTTCTTTAGCCCGGTCCATAGCTTCATAAATGTACCCCATGGGAGGCTTTTTCTCACCATCAACCAATCGAAGCACACGGACAAGAGGGCCAGTAAGCTTAAGAGAGTAGACAACATTACTCCAAAATGAAGGCATTAAAATGATTTGTGCTGTCCTTTTGCCTTGTTGTTCTTTTGCCCATTTGCTTGTAGTCCATTCCTCTGAAGTGAACATTTTTCTCAAGTTACCTTTTTGTTGGTTGATCCTTGTTAGCGTAAGAAAAGCCGTAGCAAATCTAGTTTTTGCAGGCTTAATCAACTCCCTTGACTGGGTAAATCGTCTCATCATATTCAACAGAGTTGGACGGTTATAAATATAACCGTGTAATGCTATTCCTCTTTCAAATGTTCTCTTGAAGTTTGGCAATTTGAAGATATCTTCCAATACCAAGTCCAAGCAGTGGGCAGCACATGGCGTCCAATATAGATTTGGTCGTTTTGCCTCCAAAAACTTACCTATTAAATAAAGATTTTTTTAGCAACTAGTGTGCATAAAAAAATTCAATATAACAAGTAGTTATCTTTTTTTTTTTTTTCAAGAAGCTCATACCTGCTAACACATTTGCTGCCGCATTATCAGTGACAATTTGAATCACATTAGCTTCACCAATACGCTCTACAAAATTATCAAGCAATTCAAACATTTTTTGCCCATCCTTTGAGTATGCAGAAGCATCAACAGATTCAAAGAACATGGTCCCTTTTGGACAATTCACTAAGAAATTAATCAAGGTTCTCCCTCTCTTGTCAGTCCATCCATCGGCCATTATGGAACATCCATATTTTGCCCAATCCTCTTGGTGATCTTTCATCAATGACTTTATATGCCCTACTTCTTTGTTGAGCAATGGGACCCGAACCTCATGGTAAGAAGGGGGTTTCAAACCAGGACCATATTGTCCAAAAGTTTCAACCATTGCTGCAAAACTTTCATAGTTCACAACATTAAAGGGAATTCCCGTGTCATACATCCATCGGGCAAATGTTGTGATGGCTCTTTCTCTCATTTCCTTTCTAAAAGGATCGCTGGCATCAATATTCGTTTGTCTCCCCTTGGTCTTTCGATTTTGCACCACAACATTCGGATCAGGGGTGAAGTATACATCCATAGGCCCTTTTTGTTTGGTTTTTTGGTCTCGATGTGGCTTGTGTAGAACCTTGACTAGAACTAGTCATGGATCTTTTACGATTCGCAACAATCTCTACAATATCATCTTCATCCTCCTCCAAGTCATTAGGCATCTCATCAAAGTCGGAAACCATGTTCATTAGATTCTTCTCTTCCTTTTTTTTAGCCATGTATTCTCTAATCTCCTCCCTAACATGAGCAGGGCATTTTGGACAAGTAATAACACTCGTAGAGTTCCCTGCTAGGTGTTGCTTGACCCGATAGACACCTCCATTTGACTCTTTTCCACAAAAATTGCATTTGAACTTGTTTGTGTTTTGAGGATTTACCAAGTGTGCATATTTCCATGCCGGATCTTTTTTGTTCCCTTCGGACGACGATGCCATTTATGAATAACACTATCACACTACAATCAAAGGAACAAAACACATTCACATGTACTGAATCACATTTTATATCAGTTGTAAACAATTTTATATTGACAGGACAGGACAACAAAAGAAGCAGAATCAGGACAGCAGTAGAATGCAACAACAAAAAAAAAACAGACGACTGAGGAAAAAAAAAATTGAAGCAGCACAGGAGCAATTTCATATTGACTGGACAGAAGCAGAATCAGGACAACAATACAAAAAAAAAAAAACAGAAGCATTACGTTGTAAACAATTTCATATTTAACATGTAAACAATTTAACTTGTACTGAATGCATTAAGTCTTGCATTTTCATTTGTTTGTATAATTCTTATGCAGTCTCCGACCATATTATTACCAATAAGATGCATGATTTGTTTGTTAAGTCACAAGAGGCCTTTAAAATCTTGCCATAAATGAGAGCAAAGATTGGTTATACAAAGACATCAATTAGCATGTTGTAGTGCTGGAAGTTCACATATATCTGTGTGAATAATATTTCAAGCAATGCATGGTGACTATCTCATTATTGAAGAGACAGGAAGACTACGACCGAATATTACAACTTTTTATGATTAAGTTATAATTTTTGGGTGTAAATTACGACTGTAAAAGACATAATCGATGTCAAAATATTATGATCAATCACAAAAGTTACGTCTTTTAGAAGTATTAATGACCGATCACAACATTTCATGATCGATCGTGATTAACTCCATTCAGTTGCAACTTCACTTTTAAAAGTTATAATTTGACCTATGAAAATAACTTCTGATTTAAAAAAAAATTCCAGTGCCACAGAGCTATCCATTGAAGAGAGGTGTTACCAACCAAATAGCTGCATTACAATAAGTCTTGTTTATCTAGCAACAATAACAAAACTAGGTACATATCGGTATGTAACATACGTACAACTACGAATAATAGCATTCCAGCAGCTCCTTAGAATGGAGTTTGGACAGCAACATAAGGAAAAAGCAAAAAAAAAAAAAAAAAAACAGACGCATAATGAAAAAAAAAAAGAAGCACAATCGGAGCAAAATAGGGTAGAATCAGAGCAGGATGGGGTAGAATCAGATCAAGAAAAAAAAAAAAAAAAAAAAAAACCAGAATCGGTGAAGGAGCAGAAGACAGAAGAAAAAAAAATTGAAGAGAGAAGAAGAAGAGACTAACCTCCACAGTCCAGACCAGCCCTCCAAACCCTCAGTCCAGCAACAACAATGGTGTACAAGTAGCGAAAACTCGAAGCCTTGGAGTGTAGCACTGGAGAACAGTACCGATCGTGTAGCAGTGGAGAGCAGCAATGGAGAGCAGCACCAAATCCGTCGTGTAGCAGTGGAGAGGAGCACCGATCGATCGTGTAGTAGTGGAGAGCAGCACTGATCGAAGCAGCATCGATCGAAGCAGGGGAGAGCAGCACCGATCGATCGTGTAGCAGGCAGCACCGATCGATCGTGTAGCAGGCAGCACCGATTGAAGCTATCTGTAAAAAAATTAACAAAATTAGGTTAGGAGTTTTATTTATAGGATAAGGGAATAATTCGGTACATTAACATCTTAAAATTTTTTTTGCAATCGCCCAATCCTACGGTCTAAATTAAAAATTCGCCTCGCATAACAAAAGCGATCGCTTCTTCGCTTTTTTCGCTTCTTCGCTTTTTCGCTTTTCCTCGCTTTTTTCTCGCCTCGCTCAGGTTCGCTTCGCCTGGGTTCCTCCAGGCGAGCAAGTCTCGCCTCGCCTCGCTTCTCGCCTAGGCGAGCGCCTAGGCGCGCTTTTCATAACACTGGTTTAACCTATTTATGATTGGTAAGAGAAGTCTATGAGGGTTATGTACTTTAAGCCTTATTATTATAAGTACACGAGGTTAAGAGAGATAACCTAATTCTCTCATTAGCTCTCACTGTTTTAATAAACATATTCTCTTTCTCTCTATTTTTTTCTCCTCTCTCTTTCATAATTTAACTATGACCTTATAAATACCCTAGGGTTAGTTTTAGGGTTTCTTTATACGAGTTTAAATCCTAAGGGGCCTAGCAGAGATTTAGAGAGCTAAGAGAGGATGAGGAAGAGTAGATCAGGCCAAGTTTTGCTGGGATTTGCACGTACGGAACAACATAAAAAACGTTATAATAAATTTCTAAGAACTTAAAGTAGGGTTTCTTTTCCTTTTCTAAACATTGTGGCTAACGCTGTGTTTATTTATAATTTTTGACTTGAATCCGTTTACATATTCTAGACCTACGACTATTTTGGATTTCTTGCAAACGCATGATTCATTTTTGTTGGAAAAATACTCGAGTTACATTTGATGTGCGTTTTTAGTTTATAAACCCTAGATTCTAAATAATGTCTAATTTAAAATGTCTCTTTGCGATTTCATGTATGTTTTATTGAAATTGCTTTAAGAATTGTGAAAACTTTTGTTTGTGGTATATGTGATCTATTTGAAAAGCATCATTTAAATATCTTGTATTGGTGGGGTTGATGAACTTCAATGCGCTTGAACTTATGTCGTCTCGAACTTTTGTCGTCGAGTAATTAGATATTTTTCTTACCTCGATGGACTTAAAGGTTTCCTATGACTTGTAGTGGGGGTGTTTGGTTACTTGCGAGGTTTCAAGGATTTGCACTATTCATTTACTTTGGTTGAGGCTGAGGGGTAGTATTATTATTATTAATGGGAGAATTTTGTTAAATACTGGTATGCACAGTATACACGCCTCTTAAAATGATGTGGCTTTGCTGTGATAGATTGGATGGTTTGTGTTTGTTGGAGGGTGGACTAGCTATACTATGGTGTGTGAATTCTTGCTAGCCAGTGTGTATAGAATGTTTTAAAACTAGGTTCGGCCCGACGGGTTGACTTAGAAAACCGGTGACCCAGGCACTAAACCGGGCCGATTCCCTCGTTCTAACATAAAAATTGGCCAAGACTCGTCAAATTGGGTGGGTTTTGCCTTAACCGTTCAAACCATTTTGGGCATATTTGCCCTAATAGACTATTCGACTTCGAGATCAGATTGAACCGCCCTCTCTCTCTTCCCAATTCATCTTTGACATCTTTGAATTTGGTCTCTCAGGCTTCCAGCAAGCATAACCGCCACCATCCAGCTAGATGGATTGAAGCATAGCACATCTCCGTTGGCGCCACCACCCATCACCAAGCACACAACCACCATCAACCCAAATTTACCATCACTACAACACCCAAGCCACCACTCCAAGTGTCACAAGGGCTAAGGGGCCAACACCAAGTCATAACAAGAACCAACAAACTACTACCTTTCTGCTATTTCTCTTTCTCTCTCTTTCTCTTTCTCTTTTCGCTATTTGTCTTCATTAACTTCAATTTCAACATCAAATCTAGTCTCTCAAGCTCCCAGCACGCAGCAGTTGTTGAATCTCGATCATCTCTGTCTTGAATTAAATTAGTGTTAGGGTTTTGCTTCAAATAATCCCCTCGTTGGCATATTTGGTCATCTAGCAGGTATATTGGGTTACAAATTCCAAGAACAAAATCATTGCTAGTGTTGTTTGAGTGTTTTTTTTTTAATTTGGATACTATGTGTTCGTGATATTGGCTATATGCATAGGTGTAATTGTCTATTTGTGATATTCTTAATAATTAGTTATATTTTTCATACTAATTAGTCATATTCTTCATATCTGCATGGTATAGGAGAACTTTTTTTTTTGAAATCTTATTCTTCATTTTTGCATGTTATTTTCATAATTGTTATAATTTTTTTACCTATATATTATCATTAATAATTAATAATTATTTTTTATTATATTGTTGGTCTTTCCAATGACTCAACGGTTAAACCATTGACTCATTGCCGGGTCCCTCACTGGGGTTGATGTCTGGGCCGGGTGTTAAAACTATGGTTATATATGTTTATTTTGGAATTTTGAGACCTACCTATTTTTATATATTTTTAAACCTTGTTTAGGCTTGAGAAAATTTCTTTATCGAGCTAGATGTGCTCACCCCTTCTATTAATATTTTTTTGATTTAGTATTGAGATTGATACCTTACAAGGTGAGGATGCTGAGTGGGATTATTAGGCGGATCGGAATGTGAATCCGGAGATGGAGGCTTGAGGATTGCTAATTTAGTTTATTTTGTTTCCTTTATGAGGATGGAGTAATTTTATGAATGTTTATTATTTTATGAATATCTATAACCTAGTACTTGAGGCTATCAGTATTGGTTTGGAAGTATTATTGCGAGTTGGCTAGTATTGCCCTAGGTGGAATTAAAAGTGAAGTGATAACACCGTTTTGGTGCATTTGGATTGTTCAAATTGTTTAGAAAGGTCTTAAGCAGAAGATTAATAGTGGACAGTGTCATTAAGCATTCTTGTCTTATTATGGGCATAGTTCATTACTCTTAGACTTTCTAAAGTTATTAACAATCGGGAATCTCTTGTTTAAGTATAGGATTAATAGTTGACTTGTACTCACAAATTTTAATTGAAAATGGAGGTTAAGGGTATGGGTACAAATCTAGAGACATGGTAATGAATGGTGCATAGTTTTGGTTCGTTTGTGAATTTTTGTTTTTAAGGATCAAAGTTTTGTTTTGATGTATAGTTTCGGTTAGTTTGGGAATGGAAACATTTTGGAAACAAAAATTTATGTTGAGCTACAATTACTTCATGAACTTAAGTTGTTAGAGAGTGGGCCCAATTATGTGTATGAAACTCCGAACATATATTATATGCAACACCATACAAACAAAGCTATACTTCTAAGGTACCTCATCTTGATTATTGTTCTATTGTCCCGTTATATGTTCGAATCTTGTTATATGATAAATCTCTTCACAAGTTGCCATTAGTAATGGTAATACAAATAATAGTAGAGAGCGGTGATAATTTATCATCAGTAACAATTAATTTTAGAGGCAAATGGTGCAATGGTATTGTTGTTGTTATCTGTAACTATTAAGGTTGAAGTTAGAAATATGTTTTTGAAATTACACAAAAAGTATTCGGGTTAGGGTATGTTTGGATCACGGGTTAAAAGTGGATAACTATGGTAGGATAAGATAAAAAAGTATGTGGGGTCCATATATCCCATGTTTGGTAAGTAAAAAATGCACAGGAAATCCTATTTGGATTTTATCTTGGCCTGATTTGGAAAATCAACTTTAACCCACCTACATGGGTTAAATGAAACCCAAGGGGGGTTAGGATTTTTTTTGCCAGGATAAGTAATGTAAATTTACGGATATGTCCACCCCTAAGTGTGGAGATCTTCTTGGTTAATTTTTTAAATATTTTATGTTGTTAACTTGAATGGTTGATGGGGTTTATTTTTTATTGTTACAATATTGTTAAAAATATGTATTTTATATTTAAATGAGTTTTAAAAAAAAAATAGATGTGAAAGTGTACTTTTTTTTTTGGAATGGGTTGAAGTCTAATTTATAAATCAAACATGGTGGTGGATAAGATATGATATGGGTATAATAGTCAATGAAAACAAATTACATCACTTTTATCCATGGGCCCTACAAAAATATATGATCTACCCAAACAGGGAAATTGTCTAGATATACCAATGTATATCCTATCCGGGTGGCAGCGGGGTGGGTTTGCATTGGATAGGAAAGGATATCTTTTTAGATATCCAATCCACTCCAACCCTATCATCCAAACATACCCTGGGGCATTCGCTAAGACGGGAAAGGGGATAAAGCTAGTGTGGTAAATGAACTGCGCTGGTCATAAAGAGCTGAAGATTCTCTCGTATTGAAGCTTGTTCAAGTTCGTTCATTGTAAAATGAACCGAGCTCGAGCCCGTTTAATAAACAAACTGAGTATGATCAATGTTTTTTTTAGGTTGTCAAACTCACGAACAAATTGAGCTCGTTTATATACATAGATATATCTCAATATCTAATAGACCCATGTAATATATTTACCTTTTGCATTAGTTTCATTTGATTTTGCGTATGCTTCATTTTTGGCATGCAATATGCACTTCTATATTGGTTGAGTTGCATGTTTATTTTTGGAATGAGTAAATTACATGTTGAATTGTATAATTTTTATTTTTTTGGATAAAGATAACAATTTTATTGATGTAAACAAAAAATATAGAACAAAGTGATAATACAGATTGACTTGTATAATTTGACTTCCCTCGGTAAAAGATATTTGGAAGAAAATTATTTTAAGATTCTATTTTTTTGTATGAAACTGCTGGTCTGGCAGAGTTTGAATAGGTGGCATTTGATTGGTCGCATATAAAAAATATTGATTTATTTGTTTTTGCAGATTATCTACACATCCGTTTGCTTGGCTGATGTTTCTAGTGAGCCTTCTGATTTTTTTCCTCTTTATGTAAATTATCAAGAGCGTTTCTCAGCAGCTGGTCGAACGAGGTATCCCTTGCTTATCTTGCTCTTCTATGATGCAATTATTGGTACTGTGAGATGGGAACTTATTACTTTTTCATTTCAATCTGCCATT